GCTATACATGCATTTAATGAGAGAACTGGGTTCCAAGGCATATGCTAGTCAGCAACAGTCTTATGAAAACCGAATGATTGGAGTTTTCCATCGTGTCACAAATGATGATAACAAAACTCACATTCTAACAAATTTCTCCCTGAAAGGTAGTTTGCGTGTTGTTATTGCCACTGTGGCATTTGGCATGGGTGTTGATATACCAGATGTCAGTGCTGTTGTACATTGGGGTGCACCTCGTACATTTGAGGGTTTCTACCAAGAAAGTGGACGTGCAGGCAGAGATGGGAAATTACAGTCGTTTTCAGTCATTTATCACAGTGGGCGAAATACAACACTGAAGGCCACGGATCAGTCAATGATCCAGTACTGCAAAACAGAAACCTGCAGACGACAGTTCATCATGAACATTTTCAGTAGCCATGACAACTGTGATGACTCAACAAATGTGCCTCAGTTTACTGGCACTTTATGTCAGTGTTGTGATATTTGTAGAGCAAAATGTCAGTGTGGGAACTGTCTGGTTGTTCCTGTGTTTAACATATCTGATGACAGCGATGATGACATTTCTGCAGAAATGCAAGAAAATTATCTAATGCCATCTAGAGAGTTAACTCAAGAACAAACTGATCAAGTGAAAGTAAAATTGTTTGAATACCAGTTTAGAAGACAGCATTCAGATTGACGAGGAGCAAGGCAATGCCTACAAATTGTTCACAGATGTGGAGTTAGTAACTGGGCTTGGCAATGCTGTGATTGAACGGATAGCAAACTCTGCATCAGTTTTATTTAATGCTGATGATGTGATGACAGAATTTTCTTTTTTTGATTCTATGCAAGCTCAGAAAATATCAGATATCATTAATGATATATGTATATAACACAAGTATATTGCCCTACCTGCAATTTTATTACCTGCAATAATCAGTTAATGTAATATTGATGACAAACACACTAATTATTAATATTACACCAGTTTAATAATGAAATAATGTAATTTCCCAGATTGAATCTGACAGCATCATTCTGTATTTAATAAAATTATGTACAAGTTTGTTGATATTTTACAACAGATAGAAGTGCTGAGTGTACATGTGTTAAATAACCATTATTATGTGTCATAGGGTATTTCAAAATAAAAACTGTCAAATAAATAAAAATAACGTTATTTACATATTGATTAAGCAGTTTCATGACTTCACCTTATTAGTAGTTTACAAAAATGTCCTGACCCCCCCCCCCCCCCACCACACACACACTTAGTGTAGTTGTGAACCACTTGAGTAGTTCACAAACAACGCACAGAACAATAAGTTAACCACAATGCTGTTTGATTTGTACAGCCAGACATTTCTGTACACAGCTGCCACTGAAGACTATTTTCCCTTAATGACATGTACTAATATATAAAAAAAAAATTATGTTCTGGGACAAAAAAATACATTTTTTTAATGAAAATTACTGTTAAACATGTCTTTTTCGTGAGCATGTCGTTTTTGCGAATTCAGCGTACAGACATCAAAGATACACTTTATTGAAAAGTAAATTAACACTCAAAATTTAATGTATTCATTGTGGTCATTATTTCAATGAAAATAAATAAATGAAGTGATTAGTAGTACTTGATAGGCTAGTCTGTAATTGCTTTCAGGGAAAATAATTCCAGTAAAAATAAAGTATTTTACAGTATTACATGGAGAGCAAAATTATTGTACAGTCAAACATGTTGATAACTAGTTTAGTGACGGCTCAGCATTTCAAGGCAGCATCTGAAAATCTTTTTTTTCTGCAAATACTTTTTTCTGGTGTTTTAGCCACTTGCGGACACTGACCGCATCTAATTCACTAGATATTCTGTTGGCCAGAAAGTTAGGAAAGTGCATGTGGTATCTGCCTGGCACATAATGAAAAACTTTCATATGCAATAACTCCTTAATAATTATTTTTAGGTCACTATTATGACTTGGTCTACCATGTTTGCCACCTGGATTAGAAATCCTAGTTGATTTGTCGTACTGTTTTTCAATGTCTGCCACCACTTTCAATGTTGAACCAATTCTCTTCACTGCATTTTCAGTCATATTTGGCCCAAGCCTATGAAGTCGCTCCTTGGCATCTTTATTCAGAAACTCAATTGCCAGGTCATCAGCAATATTTCTACCAATACCACCATGGAGATTAACTGTGCGATTGAACTTCACTTTAGCAGCCATCCTAGGTGTTAAGGTACCATTGACCTGACTGAGAAGTCTGAAGGCTTCCAAAGCATATTTGGTATGCCCATACACTTTATAGTGCAGAAAGAGAAACTTCCAATACAGTAGTCTCCTTTCCCCATCATTTTCTCTTGTGGCATCTTTCAAAGCTGCATCTAACAATGCCATTCGCAAATAACTACTGTGATAGTTGAAAATGTGGTCTTCCTTCTTTATCACAGACATACTAGAAGTGTGTTGTTCAAGCTCTTCAGGTCCAAAGATCAAATCATTGATTGTTGTCCCTGACTGAAGAAGAGTTCTAACTGGTTGTCCATGTTGGGGCTGTTCTGCTGCAAAAGGTAGTGTTGTGGGCGTGGACTGTTCAGCTTGACCAGAAAGTATCTGTGGTCCAGGAGCAGGCAGTGTATGTGGCACTGGACCAGGCAGTTGGTGTGGTGTTAGATCAGGATGTTGCTGTGGTGCTGGTTGTGGCTGTTGCAATCGTCTATATATGCATGTAGCACGATGATCAGCTAGTCTTTTGCCATCCTTTTTATAAACTTTATCACATTCAGGATATCCACATGCATACCCTTCTATGTGTGTACCAGTATCTTGATTGCAGAGTTCTTCTGCATAGAATGTTGACAATGTTAGTTTCTCAAGGATACTGTTAGCAACAGATAGCATGTAGGATCGCTTTTCTTCATGCGAATATACCTCTATTCCTCTTGGTGATGATTTTGGGCGCTCGTCTTTTTCACTCATGTTTAGAGTCTTCATGGCTGCAACAATTATATGTCCATGAAAAACAATGTCATTAAAGTCTCTGATGGCATTGACATCAACATTTGCATTCTTTACAACATTCCTCCTATCTATTTTATTTCGTAAGTGATAAAGCGTCCCTGCATCTCTTTCAGAATTTGTGCTATAAAACTCATTCCAGATTGTCTGCAATAGAAAATCAAAGAAAGCTTAGAAAGAACTCCCATGTGCTGAGAGTATTGGAGACACATTAAATATAATTCGAAATTACTTAGCTGAAAACTAATTATGCAAATCAGAAAATTAATATGACCAGATTTGAGTGTAAAACTAATGAGGTCTGCGCAATGTAACAGAAAATCTATGTCTCCAAGTTTAATTGAAATGTGATTAGAA